TGCGTTCGTAGCGTGCGAGAACATTCGGAGCTGTTGCTTGAAGTTCCGCGCGGGTCAACCAACGGTCAGCTTTATGAGTGCAGTACGCAAAGTGTACTAAGTACTCTGTCGGCCTGTTGCCGTAGCAGCTCTGGGAGATGATGTCGCCGACCTCTTCAAACCCGTCCATAGAGGGTGGGTCTTGAGATCGTCGCCCGGGGAAATCATCATGTTCCGCTGGCATGAAAAGAGCCAACTTGGAGCAATGAAAGACCGGGTAGAAGGGCAAGTGGGTGGGCACCTGAATGACGAATGAAGGTCCTTCGGGTGCTCGAGGCTGCATTTCGCGGTGGAGACCCATACGAGGTCGCCGGCGTGGAATGGACAAGGAAGACGCTGGCAATTGGCCTGTTGGCTCATGCGTTGCTGCGTCTTTGCCATCTCGTCGTGTGCCTTGACAAGTAGCTCTTGCATCCGACGCAAGAAAAGAAGATGGTCGTCGCTATTGGCCGCCCGTGGGATGATTGTGTCCAACGGAGAGGTGACCGGTGAGCCGTGCTCGAAATCAAAGGGCGAAATCCTGATAGTCGGATGAATGGACGAGTTGTATGCGGATTCGACATCCGGCAGCCGCACAACCTAATCCTTTTGGTTGGGGCAGATGAGAGCGCGAAGGAGAACCTGTGCAGTCTGATGCGCTCTCTCCGTTTGGCCATCGGTTTGGGGGTGGCGATTCGAAGTTGGCTTGAGAGATGAGCCCCATCGTTTGATGAGCGCCAACCAAAAATCGGACATGAACCGAGTGTCGGGGTCGCAGACGATTTCCTTGGGGTAACCCTTGGTTCGAATCCAACCGGCGTAAAAAACTTTGGTCAACTGCGGTGCCTTGGCACGATAGCGGCAAGGCAAGAACATGGCGAACTTGGTGAGTCTCGGTCGACCACCGTGAGAATCCCATCCACACCGGTCTTGTGCTTGGGGAACGACCAGGTGATGTCCATGGCAATTGCTTCCCTTCGGCGCAAGGGGATTAGTAGTGGTTGCAACTCGCCGTACGAACGATGATTGCGGGATTTGCAGCCTCGGCAAACCTCGCATGAATTGTAAATAGCATGTGACGTCGCTGAGAAGGCCGGGCCACCAAAATCGCTCGCGAAGTCGGCCAATCGTTTGATTGACTCCAAAGTGTCCGGTGTCGGGAGTGTCGTGGAACTCGCCAAGAAGCAGCGTACGCAAGTGAGAGTCACTTGGAATGCAAAGGTCCTTTCCCCGCGTGTGGACAAGCAAGTACCCCTCTTGGATCCGGTAGTGCGATGGCGCCGGATTAGGAGAGGAGCAATTCGCGTACTTGTCGTGAAACTCGGGGTCGACTCGGTAACCGTGGATGAGGTTATCTTGCAGTTCGTCATCGATGTCAAAAGTCAAATAGAAGGCGGAGCAATGATCCGGAAGTTGTGAAAGAGCTTCCGCAAAACGGTTTGACTTCCCCAGGATGTGATGGGGAAAGAAGTCCAACTGGTCAATGAAAGTCATCCAACAGGCGATGGTGTTGTTGACCGTGTCTTGGGTCTTGTAAAAGACCAACGGATTGTTGTCCGTCACCCATCGGAATTGACTTTGACTAAGGAGAAAGTGCCGCCACCACTTGAGAGCGTGGACGAAGGCTAGGGCTCCTCCTTTCGTGCATCGTCGATTGAAAGCACGACAGGCACCTTCTTGCTGAAATACTCGACCGGGTGTCAGTCCACGCCATCGTGTTGCTCGAGGACGGAACATTGACATCGGTAGTGACGCGCGTCGACAATAGCAGGTCGTAGATGCGCAAGACCTCTGCGGATGGTAATGCGGCTTTGAGGGCCATAAATGAACCCCACGCATCCTTACCAAAGTCGAATGGGCGATCCTCACATTGAAGCTTGGTCAAGTGGGCCGCAATCTTCGAATAACCTTTGATGAAACGCTGGTAGTAGCCGCCAAGCCCAAAAAATGAACGGACATCCGTGACGTTCCGCGGCTCCGACCACTCTTGGATGGCTTGAATCTTGTCCGATAACAGACTGATGCCCTCCGGTGTGACAAAATGGCCCAGGTATTCCAGCTCCTGCCGGACAAATTCACACTTGTCGCGGTTGGCTTTGTAGTTCACACGGCGGAGCACCTTCGAGCATCTCCAACACTCGTCGAAGGTGCTCAAGGTAATCCTCCAAGGTCCGACTATAGACGAGAATGTCGTCCAAGTAGACCAGCACGAACCGGTCCCACATCGCACGGAACTCGTTGGTCATCGTCGCTTGAAAGGTCGTTGGGGCATTGGCGAGGCCAAAAGGCATGACGACCCACTCAAAATGCCCGTACCGTGTCCTGAACGCGAATTTATAGCGATCATTCGGGCGTATCGAAATCTAATGATAGCCCGACTTCAAGTCCAACTTGGAAAAGTACTTCGCGCCGCCCAATCGGTCAAGAAGATCGTCAATACGAGGAAGAGGCCCTACATTCTTGACGGTTTGCGCGTTGAGCTTCCGGTAATCGATGCACAATCGTAGATCCTTGTTCGTCTTTCGTACGAAGAGAACTGCTGCTCCATATGGGGAGCTACTAGGGCGGATCCAACCCTTGTCCAACAAGTCGTTGGGTTGTGCGTGGAGGACCGTGAGCTTCTCCTCAGTCATGCGATAGATGCAACCTTTCGGCGGCACGACACCGGCCTCAAGAATGATCTCGTGAGAGATCGGCCGGTTCGGCACCACACCGGTAGGTGACTTGAAGATGTCGGCGAACTCGTCAAGCAACCGCACCACACGGGGGTCTGAAGACAAGTCCGTGGGTGAAGAGTCGGCTACTGTAACGGTTCGTAAGAAACATAGGCCTATCTCGTCAGGCTGCTTGTAAGCACAAGTACCCCGGAATGACTTGGCCGTCAGCACTTGGCATCGGATCGAAGGGTGCGGAAGAGGCATTGTAAACGACACTTCAGCGCAGAAGGCGTCGGGGATGGTAAGAGTCCGCCGATGGAAGTTGACCATGTGATCCGCACTTGCAACCCAAGGCATTCCCAAAACGATATCGAAGTCCGTGTCCAAGATGTCAAACTGCACCGATTCACATGCATGAGGTGCGAAATATGTCGGTACGACCTCGATGTAACGATCGATAAGTTGTTGAGTCTTTTCGTCTGCCAACTTCATCGCCGTCGGGTTTGCCTTCCTCCAAACTTGTGCGCCAAGGCCAGCCCTTTGCATAAAGGCTTGGCTCATGAAAATGCGAGTTGCGTCGTTATCCAGCAAAACGTTTCAAGACGCTTGCCCAACTTGGAGGACATAGAGAGAGCGGTGCGTTATTGTCGTCGTACCGCTGTGTGCGAAACTAGTGGGCCACCTTGATAACATACGCAAGGATGTCCCCCACCGCAACTTCGTCATCCGTTAGCGAAGTTGGTGGTGCATAGAAGGATAAGTACGTGTGAAGATGAGCGCATAGTGTTGCGCATTACGGTCGCGGCAAGCGGCCTGTGGTCGAGGGAGGAAGCCATGCGAAATCCTCGAACATGAACGGGTCCAATACCTCTATGTTGAACTCGTGCGCCGAATCCCGTGAAGAACCACTTGAAGACGATAAGTTGCCGCTGTCGAACGGGGAAGATACCGCACACGTCTTGTCCTTGAGTATGAGTACCCAGCGTAGGAACGAGTTGGGCAACATAGTCCTCAAAAGAATATAAGATGGGAGGACTATCAACTTCCGCACGTGCCTCGGAACGAAGGGCGGTCACACGCGTTGCAACCAGTTCCCAGGGCGTCGAGAGTGTCGTCGACACACTCTCGGCAGTGCTCACTTTCCCGATTGTTTGCCCTTAGCTTTCAAAGGACAACCCACTGTGTCACGGTGATCACTATTGCACCACAAACAATACCGGAATCTTGTGCGTATCTTGTATACGTTCTCCGAGAGACCGTAGTGGGTCCATGGGTCTTTAGCTGTTGCACCGGACCCAAGGTTTGACGTGGTGTTGGTCTTCGATCTGCCTCGTCCGCGGCCTTTGTCGGGGCAGCCACCATCCCGGGCAGCTGCGAGTGTGTCCCCTTCATTGGCAGACGCGGCCTCGCCTGAAGGGTCGGTCGGCGTTGCCGCAACTACCCTGACCACTCTTGGCCGATGTTGTTCTCTACTCCGGCCTACCGAAGGCGAACAATTGAGGTTCTTGGCCTCCGTGTTTGTGACAATGATCTGCACGACCTTGTCAAAGAGCTCCGCAGTTGTAGTGAGCATGTCTGCGACTTGAGTCAACGCGTTGGACAATGCCAAACACAACCTCGAGATGAGGCAGTGTTTGACGGCCTAAAAGCCCATTGGTACGCTGGGCATGGCCGCCAAGCGTTGGAACTCGATAATCCAATCTCCACTCGACAGCGTGTTTTGGTGGAACTTGATCAACTTGTCCATGGCTTGCATTTCCGGCGGCTCTATTTAGAACCGCTTATGCCACACCGCCTTCAGATCAGCCCAGTTGATCTTGGTGTGCAAGTCGGAGACCACCACTTCGTGCGTGGACAACATATTGTCCAACCATGCTTGGCACACACCCCCCGATCGGGAGTACAACTATGCGTGCTTCTTGGCTTCGCTTGTGTGGTGGAGACTTAAGCTCGAACTAGCGGAACCATGGAATTAGGTCCATCTTCGTAGAGTCGCGGAAGATCTCTTGTCCATCGACCTTCAGAATTGCCTCGCGTGTTGACGTGCTCGGGCCAGCGCCTGCAGCGCAGATCCGCTGCTTGAGTTCTTGAGTAGCCGCTTGCTGTGCCCGTGCGCCGTTCATGAGTGTTCCGACGTTCATCTCCAAGGCGTCGAGGCGATCGGCGGTATTGGAGGAGCTGGCGGCGACGGGTCGTTGCTCCAGCGGCTTGCGGCGGCTGTTGACTTAAATTCATCATAGTCAAGTATGCAGATTGAGCGCGCATTGTCACAGACTCAATTTCATCATAGCCGAGTTTGCAGATTGAGACCGTAGTATCACGCTTACTCGGGACCATTAAAGCAGAATTTTGTGAATCAAGTGCGCTGTATTGCACTTAAGTTCGAGTGTGCACTGTCGCACTTGCTCGAAATCATCAATGCAAAGTTTATAGGCTGGGTGCTCAGTATCACACTTTCTTGGGATCATTAAAGCATACTTTTGCGAATCAAGTGCGCAATATCGCACTTAAGTTCAAGTGCGCACTGTCGCACTTGCTCGAAATCATCAATGCAAAGTTTACAAGTTGGGTGCTTAGTATCACACTTACTCGGGATCATTAAAGCAGAGTTTTGCGAGTCGAGTGTGCAGTGTCGCACTTAAGTTCGAGTGCGCACTATCACATTTGCTCAAAGTCCTCAATGCAGTCCCTCAGATTGAGTGCCCATTGGCACACAGGTTCGGGTGTAATAAAGCAAAGTTCATGGATCGAGTGCCCCCTAGCACGCTGGTTCAGATGCAGTAAACCATAGTTCAAGTGCCCTCTGGCACGCTGACTCAAATGCAATAAACATGATTCATAGATCGAGTTCCTACTAGCACGCTGACTCAAGAAAAACGATCCTCAGATATAGTGCGCATGAGCGCACAGGTCCCTGGTTTTATCAATGGCCTTTATACACAGTGCGCATGAGCGCACATTCCCTTGCTTGAAAATCGACCCTCAGATACAACTCGCTTGAGTGCACGCTGACAGATCATCGATTTCCTCACGTAAGAGTGGCAATGGGGTGAGCGTTGGCGTACAATGGCAAGATCGGCATTTTCCATACGTACAGATGCCAAACCCAGTCCATATCAACTTCACAAATCTGCCAAGAACTACGCTAGGCTGACACACAGTAGATCAGAACCAGATCAGACTGTGCCAGGCTGTCAAGTGGCAGGTCAGAATCGTACCTGGTTGCGCCAGCTTGTCAAGCAACTGATCAGAACTGTACCGCTGTGTCAGCCTGTCAAGCGACAGGTCAGAACCGTGCCAAGAACCAGCGAGCCCGTGGGGGTTAAACAGGCACTCGTACAATAAATGGCCAGCAGAACAAAAGTAAGCGGGGAGAAGGGGGAAGAAGAGGGGGAGCGAAGAGAGCAAAAAGAGGGAGGTAAGAGAGGAGGCAGGGAAGAAAGCAATGACCCTAGTGGGAACCAGGACCCCCCTACGCCCCTTTACCTCCTTCCTTGCTTGCCTTGGTCTTGCACCTTCTCCTACTTGCTCCGCCGCAGTAGCTTCAGTCCTCCTTCCTCGTTGTTGTTCTGTCAGCGCTTCCGCATTCCTGCAAGTGAGGGCTTGTTCTCTTGAGTGGCACGGCCTCTCTTTTATAGTGGAGAGGCCAGGCCGTCAGGCCCGAGTGCAGCAGTCCTAGGGCTGAAAATAGCACAGTTGCGCTAAAATTTGCTCGGGACTCACTTTGGGACCCGAACAGTCAGCCCCGTGCTAAAAACAGCGCGGGCCTGCGCTAAACATAGCGCGGGTCTGCGCTAAAATTAGCGCGGGACTGCGTTAAAAATCGCGCGGGCTTGCACTAAAATTAGCGCGAGGCTGCACTAAAATGAGCGTGGAACTTGGGACAGTCCTGATTTTGGGACACGAACAGTCAGCCCCGTGCTAAAATTAGCGCGGGCCTGCGCTAAATATAGTGCGGGCCTGCACCAAAAATAGCATGGGACTGGGCTACAAATGGCTTGGGACTTGGAACAACCCCAACCTTGGGACAAACCAATCCCGTGCTAAAAATGGCCCGGAATTGTGCTAAAAATAGTGCGGGACCGTGCTAAAAATAATGTGGCCTGCGCTAAAAATAACACGGGCCTGCGCTAAAAATAGCGTGGCCTGTGCTAAAAATAGCACGAACTAGTGCTAAAAATAGTGTCGGGCTTGGACTGGCCCGACTTTGGAATACTAGGGGTCGGCCTTGTTTTGAAAATTAAACACACCCCTCTTAATCATAATAAGGGCCCAATCCCGTATTCCCTTGACCTTTTCTAGTCGTGCCCTTCCCGACGCGGTAAGTCCAGTCCCAAGTGGTCTACTTTATTTTTCTCACTAACCCTTGGTCCGTTTCGAGAGCCATTCGGACCAGGCCCTACTAATTTCCCCTTGCGGACCTGGCGGTTCAGCCCAGAAGCCGTTGTCGGGACCGGTGGGTCCCGAATAACATCCCGCCACTCGAGAGCCTGTATATAGCCAAATTATGCACGACAGAGAAATCTGGAGTGAGGGGACAAGAGAGAGAAAAAAATACAAAGGACTTGGATAAGACCACCAGGTGGAGTGACGTTGTCGGGGCAAATACCCTGACAAGGGTATTTGCCGGGGGTTTTCAACATCGGATGCTGTCCGACTTTTTCGCTTAATTGCAAGACTTGATCAGACTGATGTTTGTCAAAAGTTTATTCTGACCAACCCTATAACTGAGATACCTAAAACCTGACGTCGTTGACGTATGACTTCATTGGCGTTCGATCGAAACAGCGGGAGTCAGTGGTACGACTAATCGTTCGCGGTTCCTGATAAGGCCGCAATGGTGCGCGGTCATGGAAAGACTAAAGCTAGACCTAATCTACCTAAAATAGCAGCCACGGGATTCAGAGCCCAAGAAGGCTAAAAAGAAGGATGCGCCAGATATAGAGCCGCATCGTAGAGGGAATAGGTAGAAGGGGTTTTATTTCCAAAAACGCGAGGTTTATTCCGAGCGAAGAGGCAATGCCATATCCGGAGCCTAAAAAGGCTAGTCGCGGCGCCATCAGGGTGAGCCGCCCAATGAATGGGCGGCAACGTGAGTACGACGGGACCAGGAGGCCATCGTGCCGACAATGACGCAGCTGGCTTTGAAAAGGGCGGCCGACGAGGCCTGCCTATGGTCAAGGTTGGGTAGCCTGCTGGTCTGCTACCCTTCATATAGAAAGGTAGCAGGCTTAGCTTCCGTAAAAAGGAGCTAGCCCAGTAGGTCACTGTGCAAAATTTTCACTCAGCAGATGCTAGGATCGAGCTGGCGATAAGCAGTTTGGGCTAGCTCCTTTTCTTTTGGAGCTTCCCACTGCACCAGCATGAAGCGCGGCCATTCTCGGCCGCGAGATCATCAAATCTCACGGCCGGGAACGGCCACGTGGCTGCAGCATGGCCCCTGCGCAAGGATGACACACATAAATCAAGAAAACGGCCCAGAATTTTTTCGATTCCCCTAAGGGAATAGAACCTGGGTCTGTAAATCGGTGGGGTAGGGGGGAATGCCAGCCAGGCTGGCGCAGTCTACAGTGGCCGTTGGTTTATGCCAACGGCATTCCTTAAAAAAAAAAAAAAAAAAAAAAAAAAAACAGCGGAGAGATAGGTGTCGTTGCTGAAGCAACGGCCACCACTCCAGAGGCTGCACGAGGCAAACAATGCCTCTGCTGTTGAAGAAAACACTCTCTTTAGACTGTGTGGGAGCACGATAGCTCCCACCTCATGGTGGCACAAAGTTTTGTAGCCGCAAGATCTAAGATCTCGCGGCTCATATCGCACGCGCGAGAGAAAAGGGAAAGTTGAGGGAGTTGGAGAAAGAGAGAGAGAAATGGGAGGATGAGAGAGAGGAGGAACTACTCCTCCCGACCTGCCAGCTGCCTCCCCGTTGTCAGGGGGGTAAGAAGAAAAACAAAAGAAAAAGAAAACGAGAAAACGGGATCTGATTTGTTTTGAAAATCCGTATTTTTCAGTTTGCGCCAATATTTGTTTTGTGGCGTTAAACAATTTTGTAGGCCTTGAAATGTTTTCTGTAGGTAGTCCGACACCTAGGCCATGCGCATGATTTTTTTCAAATTGTTTTATTAAGCGAATATTTTTCTAGAAATCATCAAAGTCGGGGTACTTTTTGCACCCCGCTCTGAGCCTGTCGGGATTTGAACTCGTGAATTTTCACGAGTTCTTTCCCTACCTCTCCCAACCTGACAACTGTACTCCCCGTTTTTAGGGGAGGACAGCAGAGGGAAGGAGCATGCTGTTGGCAGGCAACTGCATGCTCCTGGCTCAAATCACGGCCAGGAGCATTGCAGTTGGAGGGGTTAAAGTTTTCTTTATTTTTTCTTTATTCTTTTTTCTTTTTCTTTGCTTTTCATGAGGACACTTGTCCTCACGTGGTGCTACCTCTGGCAGAAGCTGCCAGAGGTAACTGTCAGGCTCCCGTTTTTGAACGGAGCCTGGAAATTGAAGGGCCACTGAGGAAAAGGCTAGGTACAACCTTTTCCCCGATGTATTTGCCCTGGGAAAAGGGTCCAAATACATCAAACTGTAAGGGGTTGTATTTCTCCAACCCCTTATCAGAAAAATAAAAGAAAAATAGATTTGGAAATGGCAGGAGCCCAGCTATCTCGTGAGATTCCGAGATAGTTGGGAAAAAGAAATGAAAAAATAAAATAGGTCAGTTAAAGAAACTGCCCCACACTAAGGCTGTGGCTGTGGTGCGGCCACAGTCAGCACTGGATCTTGGCCAGATCAATGGCTCACTTTGAGCCCGCGATTTTGCCTGGGGGCTGGAGTGACGTCCAGCCCTCCTCAGCCATTATAAAACTGGCAGTTGTCCCCCAGTTGCCACATAAAGCACTGGTGCTGTCGCTGAGTGACGTGCACACTTGAGTATTGTTTGGCTGTTGGGAGGCTGTCAGAGGCAATATGGGAGAAGGACTGGAGTTCTGCAGAGGAGCGCGCGAGGAGGAGTTGGGCAGCCATAGCCAAGGCAGGGAACACTGTTCCCGTCCCCTCTGGGCGGAGGCGCTGTCGAATTTCTGCGGCGGCAACACTGAGTTTGTCGGCGGTGGTATGAAAGTGCTGCAAAATTTTTTACAACGATGGCACAGGATTTACGACAGTGTCAATGGTATTTTTGCGTTGAGCAACAACTAGGCATTGGCGCAGTGAAGGTGCGGTTA